AAGCTACATTTTTAAGCAGAAATTATCTCAATTCAATATAGCCTCACTCTGTCTGGAATGACCATTAGCTTGCGGTGGCTAAAATGCTAAAGCGTGACTTTTATTCAAACATTTCTGTAAAATGCACACTATTGAGTCACTTTGCTGAGTTAATAGTACATTAATGTAGTTTATTATACATATGTAATAAATAAATGATGAAGTTAACCAGAGGTTGCGTTAACCGAATATTTTTCGTCTATGACGGATTTGTTTTAACAATGACGGACAAATCTGAAAGCATGCCGTCATTTTGACAGATTAGAACAAACGCCAAAGTTTCCCCGCAGCGAGGCTCCGGTGTTATGCCGGTATAAATCATTGACATGTCGGAGTTTTGGCTTTACGCAGTGCACGCTCCCGCGAGGTGCAGCAGCCATGCATAACACGGCGCATGTGAACTGTCCCCCCCCCCGTTGACAGTTCACGAGCATGCTCTCCCCCCCCCCCCCCCTCGTCAGAGTTGTGTAAAGGCCGACGGGTAATTCTGGATTTTGACGGAAGTTTTACGATCCTGTCCGTCAAAATGACGGGCAGCGAAAAAGTCTAGCGCAACCTCTGAAGTTAACTATTCTAAGCAGGAAAAGGACAGGATCAAAGGTACAAAAAACACTTATATATTTTTATGGTGAATTTGAACTAGTCCTATGTTTGACAACACAGTATTTTATCACTTCCTGTTAACATGGCTCTAAATGTGTGTATTGAAGGTTAGTGCACAGTATATACTTATAGTACAATACTATTTCATATTAAATTAGTAATTATGGAATTAAAAACGAACATATGAATCATCTCCACTTGTGCTACTCTTAAAGGTCCCATGTCATGGCCATTTCTACTGATCATAATTCCATTGTTGAGGTCGACTAGAATATATTTACATTGTGTTCCAAACTCACATTGGTTTCTCTACAGCATCTCTGCATAGTATGTGTATTCACTCTGTCCTACACGCCTTGTTGGAGCTCCTGCCCCCCCCTCCCTATGAGCCCACTGTGCTCTGATTGGTCAGCTCGCCCACTCTGTTCTGATGAGTCTACCACCGTTACAGCGGAACATCAGTGTTTATGTGTTACAATGGCGTTTGTTAGCAACCAGAAAATGACACACAGATGAGAATGCTGCGTGGGGTCTGGGTGCCGTGTTGGCGGGACGTTGCGCGGCTCGCTGCTCCGCCCTGTGGGACTCGAGGAGCGGACAGTGTGAGCTGGATTACTGGTGTCGTTTCCTGGTTGCTGCGTGGGGTCTACGAGACAGCGAGACACCGCGGAGCTCAGCCTGAGCCCACACACTCACACACACACACAGCCTGAGCTCTGTGTGTGTGTGTGTGTGTGTGTGTGTGTGTGTGTGTGTGTGTGTGTGTGTGTGTGTGTGTGTGTGTGTGTGTGTGTGTGTGTGTGTGGTGTGTGTGTGTGTGTGTGTGTGTGTGTGTGTGTGTGTGTGTGTGTGTGTGTGTGTGTGTGTGTGTGTGTGTGTGTGTGTGTTGTGTGTGTGTGTGTGTGTGTGTGTGTGTGTGTGTGTGTGTGTGTGTGTGTGTGTGTGTGTGTGTGTGTGTGTGTGTGTGTGTGTGTGTGTGTGGAGCTCCGTGCTGCACTGCGGCTGAGAAAAGATAAGAGTGAGTGAGTGTGTGTGCTCCGCGGATTGGTCCATTTGGACCAATTGGTCCATTTGGACTTCGTTACGTGAATAGGACCCGGAAGGAAAAAATTGAAAAAAATATCCCCAACGTGGCGTTCTGGGGCAGCATAGACAGGTCTATTCTGTGTTAGAGTTTTACTCGCTACAGGGTGTACTTTGAGGGTTTGTGACTCTGCAGACCGTTTACATGCAGAACAACCTTCATAACACACAAGGGGACGGGAAATAACCGGAAAAGCATGACATGGGACCTTTAATATATCTTAAAAAGTTAATTTTGCTACAAAGTGATGACATATTTTTCTAGGCTAACCCTGGAAGTTAGCACACAGTAGCGCTGGTTTCCTATACTATATTAGAAGGAGATTTTAACATTCGATTTTTGCAAAAAATATGTTCTGTGGCAAACATTAGAATCAGAATCAGAAACGGGTTTATTGCCAGGTAGGTTCACACATACGAGGAATTTGACTTGATGTCATAGTGCATACATAAAATCTAAAACAAAAAATCTCGATATAAAACAAAAAATCTTTAAGGACACTGTTATAAAATATAGTTTGATAGCAATAGAATGTGTACTGTGATATTACAATGTAAATGGCATTGAGTATTGTACACTATAATGAAATAAAAAGATAGCAATCAAATAAAGCAGTAATTTACAGCGAAATAGAATGCAGTGAATTATAGAATATGAAATAAGAAATATGTGCAGTAAGCAGTATTTGAACATTGTGTGCATTAATGTAATGCAAAAAGAGTCTACGTTGTGGCTGAGGTAAAGTGTCAGTAGGGGGGCCGGGCCTTGTTTAAGAGGCCGGTAGCGGAGGGGAAGAAACTGTTCAGGTGGCGAGAGGTTTTGGTCCTGATGGAGCGCAGCCTCCTACCAGAGGGGAGGGGGGTGAACAGTTTGTGTCCAGGGTGGGAGGGGTCGGCCACTATCTTCCCTGCCGCCTCAGGGTCCTGGAGGCCAGCAGGTCGTGGAGGGATGGCAGACTGCAGCCGATCACCTTCTCTGCAGAGCGGATGACACGCTGCAGCCTGCCCTTATCCTTGGCTGCGGCTTCAGCGTACCAGATGGTGATGGAGGAGGTGAGGATGGACTTGATGATGGTCCATCCTCACCTTTGTGTTCAAACAGTTAATCTTTACAAATGAACACCACTTTAACGATTGTATTAATGCATACAAGCAATCACCAGAAGTTAAAAGCTTAAACATTAGCCTTTAATAGACCTAAACCATGGTCCCATGAAAGTACGTTACATCAACACCACTAGGCATTCCAAAAATGGAAGTGCAAAAATGCTGAATCGTTTCCAGGTTTTAGGACTGCAGCACTTTAGTACTGATAATTGTCAATTACAACAGTGGTCGTTTTATTACCTGAATTAAAAGTAAAGTTACTTTGTCTCACTTTTGAAGTTATTATAAGATGACTTTGTACCAACTTTGACAAACTAGAAACATGTAAGTAAATAAAAGGAACACTTCTTTAAGAAGAATCACTCTTCCTGGCAACATGTACTATTTGTAGCCCGGGCGCTATTAAAGACCACCAGCTGAGCGAGGCAGCTCTGTCACCCTGTTGAGAGGCAAGCGCCTGTCCTCACTGCCAGACTGTGTTTGAATTATTTACTGCACACGCCACTGGTTATGGCTGGATTTTTACAACACCACAGAGCAGAGTGCTCCACGCTTACTCAGGCACAAACGCTGCACATAAAAACAAGAGGTGGTGGCGGAGGGAGAATCTGGCTGTGAGCAAATAGTTGCACTCAATAGAGTGGTGCAGAGACGCGTCCTAAAACGCGGAAGTAAGCTTTGCTCGGGTTCCCTCGACAAAAGAGCAATGGGATTTCTCCATAGGATTTTGGAAAATAGCTCGAAATAAGATCTGTGGAAAACGAACCTGTTTTATAAATGCACGTTTTGTTCAGCCGGATAATCTCCACATGTCTACCCTACTTTTATCATTTTCGAATCATAAATCTAATCGATAGATTTATGATCGATAGCTATTCAAGTAAAAAGTCTTGACAGTAAAAAGTCCTGACTTCCAAATGTTACTTAAGTAGAAATACAAAGGATTTATCTGCTACATGAACTTAAATGACCAAAAGTAAAAGTTATATGCAGAATGGCAGTATTATACAATTCTATAATTAAAGATAATATTATTTGCTTTTAATCATAAAAATACATGAATGCATTTTATAGTTGTCTGTGTGTTATTTGGAGCTAATTTTATATGCTTGTTTTCATATGTAAAAATAAATTATGTTACTAGGAATGATAAAGGTGCCCTATTCTGCTCATATTCAAGTTCATATTGTTGACATGTCTCCATGCTTTAATGTTCAAAAAGCTCTTTATTTCCCTCATACTGCCTGTGCTGCAGCACCTCTTTTCACCCTCTGTCTGAAACCAGAGCACAGTCTGCTCTGATTGGTTAGCTGGCCGGCTCTGTTGTGATTGGTCAATCTCTTAGAGATGTCCCACCCCTTAGCCTATCACATTCCATGTGTTGGAGTGCTAGCCAATAGAAGCGCAAGTGTTAAGTAGTGATGTCACTATGTTACAGAAGTAAGCAAATGAGTCCAATGGAGGTGTTTCAGGCGGGGGGGAGTGTGTGGGAGAGAAACTCCTTCTGGAGGGAACACAGGGACTTTAGCCTTTGAACACCATTGACATGCACACAAACCTATAGAACGCACTACAGGAAAGGGAAAACCCCACAAAGCACAATAGGGCCCCTATAAATAAATGTACGGTAGTAAAAAGTACAATATATCATATGCCACTAAAATGTAGTGGAGAAAAATATAGCATAAATTAAAAGAATACTTGAATAAAGTACAAGTATGTCAATATAGTATTAAGATATTTTATAACCCTAACCCTACCACTGTTATCAACAATGAAGATATGGTGCTGTGTTGTCATCATAACATATGACTGCACAGACCTCACCACCTTCAAAAAACGTACAAAAAACTTACAAAAACTCACCTCTTCAATCTGGCTTTTAATGTGTGACTGCTTTTTTATTGCTTGATTTTAATTTGACTTTAACTACATTTATTTGTTGTTCTTTTCTTTTCACTATCTCTGTAAAGCAACTTTGAGCACCTGTAAAAGCGCTAATCAAATTAATCTATTATATAACACATTTGATTTACTATTTAATATCGACTAATATCTTAGCATTTCCTGGTCATAAAGAGATTAACAATAGAGGGAAACAAGAGAGATATGCATGATGAGAAGCGCTGTTCCCTATCTACACTGAGCGGAGAAGACAAGTCATGTACCTGTGAAAGCCACCTGTCAGAGCGACTGTGGCGGCCGGCGTGACGCAGTGGACAGCTCCGTCAATAACGCTCCTCAGGGACCGGGCCTCGGCTGCACTGACAGCCCTGGAGATGTCTCCATGATGCAGGAAACCTGGAGGGAACACACCACGTGGTTATTAGTCTGGGAGCCAGCCATCAATCCTAGCCTGTTCCTCCGGAGAAGTGGAGAGTCAGGGTGAATTAAAAGTAAGGTAACGTGTGATCAGTTCTGAGGCTGAAAGAAGTCGACTAGCTGCTGCAGACACCTGAGCATTATCACAAATGCAGATGCTGAGATTGATCGATGGATTTCCATGTATCTGACTTTGTATTTTTTCTAGTAGTGTGCATGAAAACTATATTTTTTCATATAACAACAATGAATATAACATCTGTTCACTTGCTTTATGATTTATTTGTACTGGCTTCTATCACTTATTTAGACTGTTCAACTACTGTAACATACTCTGTAATAACTGTGCAATATATGCTTTTATTATCACTGCTTTTATCTGGCTGCTTTCACACTTCCATGCTACGCTTCTCTTATGAAAAAAAAAATATCGTTACTGTACTTATTGTTGTCCACCTAGAGCAGGGGTGTCCAACTCAAATACACAGTGGGCCAAAATAAAAAAATGGGTACTAGTGGAGGGCCGGACTGGTTCAATGTTTATTGCAGAATTTATTGAAATGAACTTATTGCACATATTAAACCTGGAACTAACAAAGCTTAAATTATTGCCTATAAAAACAACATTAAACATTAAATAATCAGTTGCATTCATTTCTTATGGCTCTATCTGCAGCTTTTCCAGAGTCATTTCTTATGATTACATGTTTCCACAGGCCAACAACAGCTTCAAAAAAACAATTTCCCTCAAAGAGAAAACCAAACATGCCCTGTTGTCGTGAGAGAAAGTGCAGAAGGAAACATCCATTAAACTCAGTGTGCTGCTCTGTGATGCTAGTTCAGATACTTGGCATCTCATCTCGGGTCCAAGGTCATCAATGTTTGGGCTCAGGCTCTGAGCTGAGGAGACCCTCAGGATTGAGTGAAGGTGTGCGTGCAATATACCGGCGGGCCAGATCTAATTATCCTGCGGGCCGAAATTAAATCCACCAAGGGCCTGATTTGGCCCCCGGGCCTTGAGTTTGACACATATGACCTAGATGGAGGACAAGAGTTCATTGTAATTAATCTCTAATATTCATGCATGCCTATTGATTAATATTTTGACTCTTTACTTTTGCTGAAACAATGTAAATGCCCCCTCCGTGGGAAAAATAACTCTGCTACTCTGATTCTGATTCCCTTGGAACAAACGAAGCTACACATTTTCAAAATACCGAATGACATGTCTGTCCGCTGTAAAATAAATGGTTTCTGCTCTTTTAAGATTTACAGAACACAGTGAGATCAGGGTTCAGACACATTTCCACTGTCAGATGTTGCATTATTCCTGTGCACGGAGCGGAGACTGCAGTGCTCCACATGATGGATTACGAGCAGTTTGATGAAGATGTCTGTCAGCATAATACATCATCAGATGGAGTTTGAAACTGAATGGGAACCTGCGAGCGGTGTAATATAATGTTTTGAATTACCAGCTCATGCAGTGCTCCAGTATGTGCATCCTGAGCAGCAGAGAGGCATACAAATGAAAAGCTGCACATCAGTACTCCCTTTGAGACGTTAAACCACAAACATTAAATGCTCTGTGGGGTTTCTATCACTGACAACAATTGCGGCTGATGTTATCTAATCGTCTGGATGCTCCTATTCCTGTTCGCTCAGACATTCCTTTCAGAGTAAAATCACTGCAGATACGCTCTAAACCAGGAGAACACTACTGGCTCTGTGCGGAGGCAACTTTCGCAAAATGACCGAAGCCCAGGCGCCAGTAAATATATAGTATTAAATTAACATTTATCAGATCTATCCATTCTTTAAAAAGTTTCTTACTTTATTATCAAATTAACTTGCTTACTAGCTTATTACTTTAAAAAACTTGCCTCAATGATTGACACCTTTATGAGGGATCCATCCGATTTCAGGGATTTTTCGGTTTTTGTGTCCTTCAGTAGGATTCCTTTATTCAAACCTTTTGAACTACCAGACTTATAACTGTAGACTACACCTGTTAGAAAGTTGAAGCATAACTTGAGAAAAAATTACACAAATGATGTTTCTTTTTTCATGAACATTGAGTAATAAGGTATATATTCTCACTAATCGTAAAAATGAGTCCCGGACTGGGTAAATTCACGTGAGCAAGTCAGAACAAAATCTCAGAAACAGATATCATATGTTTAATATCACTGCCCAAAAACTGACTTGTTTTTTTAACCAAATTGAATCAATCAAAGTTTTATTTATATAGCACATTTTTAAAACGGTTTTTGGTCGAGCCAAAGCGCTGTACATATAATAATTACCTTACAGTAAGGACACTTTACAGCAAATATAACAGCACAGTTTGTGCAGAATCAAGTCATTGTCGTTGGTTTTTAGTCACACTAGTGGCATAAGGATGGCAATTTCAGTCAAACCCTAACACTTTGGTCAGGACTGGAATACTCCAACACCTATTTGATGGATTGTGAAAGAAAATTATTCTCCACACATATTGAGAAGCTTTATGAACACTGACCTTTTCTCCAGCACCACCATAATATTAAATGTGAGTGAAAAGTGTACACAGCTATTGGATGGATGCAGTACAGTGCAGACATTTTAAGTCTATTTTGGACAAATGTTAAGGAGACATAACAACCTTTGACCAAAATGAGTGAGCCCTATCTGCACTTGAACTGCACGTGGCAGGTATCGGTTCAAACTGAACTTGTCCGGACTTTGAATCCAATATGACACAGCACACAAACCATAAACACTTCCAAGTCTGTCACATGAAACCATTTGGCCCAAAAATAATCGGTCCCAGAGACATTGAGAAAGCAGACGTTTATTTTGAGGTAAATAAACTTAAATAGCCCTTCTTTTTTTTTTAAATCAAAAGGTCCTTAATGTTTTGAAAAGTTATAATTGACAAATGCAGTTATTTTCTACAGTGGCCCTGAAGTGCAAGTCAAAACAACATTTCTCAAAACACTACAGCATTTTAGAAAACGTATGTTGTTACTTCGGCATCATTTTAAAATGTGTATTACAATTTAATCACGATTAGAGCGATGCGAATATTCGGGGCTTATATCCATGCAAATACTTTGGTAGATACCAACTACAACAAAATGAACATATTTTACCGTGATTTAATTGTAATACACGTTTCTAAATGATGCAGAAGTAACTACATACTGATACAGGTTAGTAAAAACCATGAATTAATGTTGTGAGAAGTCTGCAGACAAGACGGCAGGCGAATTACCTTTTAAAATGCGTGTTTTCTGAATGGAGATCAGATTGATCAGGCTAAACCAGGGGGGCGCAGAGGTATGACAGGGGGGCACGAGAGACCAGGAGGAAAAATGGTTATTACATTTTTTTTTTTAAAGATAAAAAAAAAAAAAATCATATTTAGAAAAATTATTGATTCGAAAATAATATGATACAGTACAGTACTATTACGTCTGGGTCTCTGTGTTTCATTAAAGCTCGGCTCTGTGTGTGTGTGGAACGAGCCATTTTGTGTGCGTGCGAGAGAGAGAGAGAGCGCACCGGTACCGGAAATCGTTGTTGCTAGCGAGCTACGCTAATGGATATAAGGAGTTTTTTCAACAACAAAGTGGAGGAGTGTCCTCTCCTGTCAGACTGAGAGACTCAGTGAGCTAAAGGACTCTCTCAGTGTTATCTCAGTGGGTCTCAAACGTTTTGGTCACCATTAATGTAAACAATTATTTCCGAGGCACACGTTTATATGATCATTATAGTTATAAAAAAATAAGAGAATAAATTAAAAACAGGTATGAAATACTATATGACATTAAAAAATGTATAAAGTTTAAAAGGGGAGTGATTTGTAAAATATCCATAAAGATATAGTAAATCTGTTTACAGTTCTGTGTTGAGAGATGTATCCATAGATCTCTTCATTTTGCTCTCAAAGTGCACCAGATTGATGCTTTTAACTTCAATATTTAAGCTTGCCCCCGGACCCCCCTATGTGAGGTCCACACACCACCTATAAAAATAGCACTTTACCCCTGCTTACACCTATATGCAGCCGTGAGCTGATTATCGAGCCTTCATTGTAACAGTCGCGGGTACATTGTATATATGTGTGGGGAGTGTTGCAGTAGAACATTCCACTGTAGCGCTCGGTAAATTAATGGGAAACCCTAAATGTTTGAGCACCCTCTATGAAACGTCAAGCTACCCCACAGCACCCCCAAAATAAATCTCTGGCGCCGCCACTGAGCCTGACTATTTGTGTTGGGGGGGGGCCCGACTTTTTTTTTTCTCCGCCTGACAGAAAAAGTTTGAGAACCACTGGGCTAAACTAAGCTGTAGCTGCTCCGTCCACACTCACAACAATGGCATACAGACATAAATAAAGCAGCGACTGTATTCACCATGAAATAGACAGTCTGTGTTTTGTTCATGTTTAACTTTTGTCCAGTTTCTGAACAGATATGAGGAGCTGTGAGCTGTGTGCTAACAGCTGACGGCTGATGTTTTGGGACATGTTGCACTGTCGGGTGCCGACCAATCACAAAGTGTCATTTCATGACTGGCAGCAAAAACAACCAATCACAGCAGAGCTTCTCTGGCTGGCTCCGTCCAATCACAAACAAGAAGTGTTCTCCCTAAATGAATACCCTTTCCGTATCAGTTAAAATGCTATGGCGTTTTCTGAAATGCTGTGGTGTTTTCTGAAATGTTGTTTTGACTTGCACTTCAGGGCCAGCGTAATTTTCCATCCTCTGTTTATTTGACTGAACTCAAAGGAAAATGTCAGTTTGCGGAAGATGCCCAGGAGTGGAGTGCACCAGCTGGGCGTAAAAAAGTAGGTCTTAACTCAAACTCTAACGTCGGGCTTAGCTACGTCCGACTTAGCGATTCGAATTTACACCGAGTGCACCAAGCCTGACTAGTCTAGGTCGTAGCTGCGCCTGGTCTTAAGATGCGCGTCCACGTGAATACACATGAAACAGTAATTGTTGCCAAGCAACACACTTCTACATAATTTAACACTCAAACTCCTCCATTCAGAGCAAGCTAAGACTTGGATAACGAAGTCATGGATAACAGAAACCAAAAGAAGAGAAAAATTACGCCCACACCCCGAAAAAGAAAGAGGGATTTGACTGAGCTACAGCGGGAACTGACGGAGGAAGAGGAGGTGGAGACCGCAAAACTGATAGCGGAACACGACAAAATTGAGCTGGAGAAGGAGAAATTAAGACTCAAAATTATAATTCTTAAGAATCAGCAAAGAATCACTGAAGAAGACAATTTGTCATTCACCATTCTCTAATCATATTTGTTGTAGGCCTACTTGTTTTTATGTCAATTTCATGTTAATAGTTCTCCAAATGTTGTTATTTAATGTTCTTGTGTGTGCTTTTGAATGAAATAGGCTATAAAACGGCCTAATGAAAATATGTGGTCACAATGGGAGCTTATTGAAATGCAATTGCAAAAAAACAGCGTTCATATTACAAATATACAGGGCTATACTGTATGTTGTTTATTATGTGATTGCGGTTAAGTCGTCCACCGATATCTTCACGGATGCCAGGAGGATTTTGCTGCTTCTTCTTGTGTTGGTAAGTGAATATAATTCCTAAGGCGGCGCTGGAGAGCCAAGGAAACTTGTCTAATAGCCCGACATGCAGTTGTGCGATGAACATTAATCATGTCTCCCACAGTATTAAAGTAAAATCTGAGCGCAATCAGCACCTGCAAGGTTGGGGAGAGCGCAACGTTTCTGTCTGATCCGTTCTGTTGTTGAGGGGAGATCTCCTCGATTAAATCAAAAAGGTCTTGTCTGCCAAAACGAAACCTCTCTATCAGCTCACTGAATAGATAACCAGTGGGTTTGTTCGATCACGGACGACTCTCTCGTCTCAATGCCCTTTCGTTGTTACAACATGTAAACAAGACGCACTGCCATAGTTATTTTCCTTCTTGCCTGTTTTACGTTACTATGGATACAAGTCTCTCTTTCCGATTCACGCCTGCTCCATACTAGGCGTAAAAGTTACACCCGGGCGCAACGCATACAGGGCTTAAGTCGTAGAGTTACGCCCAGCTGGTGCACTCCACTCCAGAAGAATAAGGCACTTTAGAGTTATTTTATCACTCGACATATGGAACTGACTAAACTGAACAATGATATGTGACCTGCTCTATCAAAATCAGTCGCATTGACCCGAAGACACATTTTTAGTTTTATACACTGTTGGAAAGAGGATATTCCTAGCTTTCTAATGATATCAGGATTGTTTTTGTACTCCAAATATTAAGCGAAATATGTCACATTATATAATGACTGTCACCGAGTCATCATTTTGAGAAAAAGGCCTTCAAAGTTTCCTCTTCTCTGGAATCCATCGATCTGATTGATTATTAGCGGAGCAAATTATCAAAATACTACGGAGGGAAGATATTTTCGTTTGGATTACTGGTCTGGGGGAAGCTCGCGAGTGTGTGCGTGTGTGTGTATACGTGTGTGTGTGTAATTTTGTATTTGTGTGTATTGTGTTTGTTTCCTGGGGAAAACCCTCACGGGAAACACCAGCTGTTGTTATGCCTGCTGTGACGTTAAGTTACTCCGTTCTCCGCTTGTAATTATGCCGTTACAAGCTTCAAAGTTGTATTTATCATCTTATTTGCCGAAACAAGTTTAATATTCTGAAAGCCAAGACTTTGTTTAATTGAAATCAGATGAAAACAAACTGTAACGGACCCTGCCGTGTTATCTATGATTACTATACTCTTACATTCATAATGTCAGCCAGAGGGAGGGGGGGCGGCGCTGCGGAAGAGCAGATTGCGAATGAGAGGTGCCTGTCTTCGTCCCTTTACAAGCTTCAAACATGTATTTATCGTGTGATTTTGGAAATAAAAGTTTCATATTCTGAAAGCCAAGACTTTGTTTATTTAAAATCAAACAAAACACCCGAACCTCGAAAAAATAGTTTTTTACGCAAATCCACGTTTATTTTGAAATGAGCCGTTGCGACTTCCGACTGATTTCGATAAAGTGGGTCACATATTATATACAACTGTAAAAGCAATAAAGGATGATTCAATGCAAAAACGCTTGAAACAAATCTCAACTCTCCCCTGTATCAGCCCCCTCTCCTGGTCTTTGCTCAGATGGCCCTCTCTGCCCGGCTGATTGATGAGCGCTCATGGGAATTCCACAGCAAGGGTCCCCTTCACAGTCACTGTTCATTGGTTTTTATTAAAAATACCCCTGCTGGCCGTTCCATTGTGATTTCACTATAAACTCCCTTCTTGTCACATCTCATCTCACTCTAGAGAAAACACATTACAGCTAGCACTTCACATAAGAAGTCTCATATGGGACAAAATTATTCCAAATGACACGCAAGGCCCCGTCTTTAAGTCTTTTTTTGGAAGCAAACTCTAGTTGTCATCATCAACCTATCATTTGTGGAGTGGCAGAGCTTAAATTGCTGAGAGGTTGACGTACCACTTTGTTGCATCCGGTTTAGATGAATGCTGTGGTCTGTCAGAATGTCACTGAATGAGCGCAGCCCTCTGCAGAACCACTTCTCCGCCGTCTTCGGTCCAACCCCAAACACACTTGTGAACAGCTGGCAGGAAACGAGGTAAGGACGTAATCAAGAAGACATGGTCTAAAATGACTTCTCAGGGAGGGGGTTAGCATTCAAACGTTTTGAAGAGCTGTATGTCCTTAAGAGATAGCAAATGCAAATCAGATTTCACTGCAAAGATGCAAAAAGCGGGGAAGCAAAAGAGTTGTTTTTCATCTACTGACCTTAAAAGTCTGATACCTTTCATCAGAGAGCAATTCCTCGACTTCAAACGAACGGCCACATTGGAGGACCTCCTGCAAAACATAAGAGTAGATTATATTAGGAAAAACGCTCTCGGTGTCAGCATCAGCATGTTTTTTACCCCCGTTTCTGTTCCATCAGCAATTAAGAAATGGCTTCAAATTGCTGCTCATTTGAAAACGGTTCCAACTTGAAAAAGGTGCTTCTTGTGTGCTCATTTCCATTTCTTCTCAAGCGAGAACAGCTTTGTTGTTGTGAAACCGAGGATTTATGCCGTTTTTATGGAGTACATAAAAAACCAAGATAACGTTTTCCCCATCCTCTATTGTTGGGAACTTTTGTTACGTGTTTAATTGTTTGCCGCTCTGAGCAGAGCACTGCTAATTTTCCAGTCACACTTTAACTGTCTTCATTATGTGAACGCATAAAGCAGGGATGTCAAATATACAGCTCACGGGCCAAAACTGGCCTGCCAGAGGCTTCAATCCGGCCCTCAGGATGACTTTGCAAAGGGTAAATATTATAGACAAGACATTAACTTTAATTGTGTATTTTGTATCTATACATTTTATACAATCACAAGGCAGGGGGGATAACTGATCCTTCTTTCTTAACCCACTGGTGTGTCAGTTCAGGTCAGGATTACTACACAGATATCGAAATTAATGTAAGATCATTATTAGATCTGGACAAGTTGTTTTGATCATAAAATAATATACTATATTGTTCAGTTCCAGATACCAGAGACTAAATGCGTTGTGCCTTTGTAAATACACTGTGTATACAATTGTTGAACTTGTTTTTCTTGAGAAATTTCAGGTTAATCTTAATGTTTTGTAAAAGGATAATTTATTCAATTTGAACATGTTCAGAATGTTCTTTTTTGCACTAAAACAAAGGCAACAAATTGCTATGATTTAACTTGTTTGGCCCACTTGAGATTACATTTGGAAGTGGACACTAAACTAAAATGAGGTTGACACCCCTGGCATAAAGTGAGTTAGCGGTTATCTGGTTAATATCAGCTATCTTCAGTTGGGGAAATGGTAAAAATGTAGCCTACATTTTCTTTATTTAAAAGTGAAATGATTGCTTTCAGAAATTATTGCTTTCAAATTGGTTAACTTAATACACTTAATTAAAGTCAACGTTTGGGGTATATTTGTGTTTTATCAGCAGTATCAGTGTGCATTTTAAGCATCTGCATGGAGGACTTCTGGTATAAATTAACCAGTGAACGAACCTGAGACCCTCACTGTGAGTACAGTGCAGTTTAAAGCAGCCTTCACTGCTCAATGATGCATCCACCCGTCCACCTCTGCATTTCAAGCCTCCGGCTAAGGCTAACCTCAAACGCAAGTATAAGGCTTCAACACACTCCCTGCCCGGGGGAGGACACACATATTCACACACACACAGAAAACACATACTGACTATTCATCCCCAACTCTGCCTCAGTGCTCCCAGACTTTCACGTCAGTAGGTTTTATATCTTTTCTCCTCTATGGATGTTCAGTACGCTTCTGTCGCTGCTGACGGTGTCACTCCGATGTTCACAGGCGCATCAGCCGTTTTGTTTTTACTTTGTTTGGTTTCACTTCGTTTTTTGCATCGTGTCATTTTCTTGTTTTGAGACACGATCTGTTCAAAGAGACATGTGGGTACAAAAAAACTCATCGGCTGGGTCTAAGAACAACAACAGGGAGAGGTCATTCACAGGCAGTCACTTCAGTCTCTGGGGACATTTGTGCTATTTTGTTTAATGAATGTGCCTCAGTGCTGCTGACAGATTTGACGGATTCGGAGACTCGCTCTGAGACTCTGTTAGGTTTAATGTGTCAGAAGTTGGAATGCACGGCTCACCTTGTTCTCCGGCAGGGACTCAGCGTTCTCTCCAAGCAAACACTTCTCCACACTTTCCCTGACAACTTGCCATGATTTCTGCCCCGAGCGCGACTGTAGGTGAGGGGATGATTGCTGAGTGACCCGATAAGACTTTTCCCCCCAAAGACGAGATAAATTGATGTGATGCCTGTCAGTGTGTGTGCTCGATCATGTGTGATTATGGGCTCAGAACAGTCTCATAATACACACATGTGCACAGAAGGATTCACACTTGTATTTCATGATCCGCAAAAGGATTCACACTTGTATTTCCGGATCCACACTTGTGTTTTTCAATGCACACACAAATGTGTTCCGTTTCATATAGGCTACATGTAAATAAAATCCAAATACAGAAAAAAGTTTTACATATGTATTTTTGATCCTCACATATTTGTTTTCCGTTTAAAACCGCTGAACCTGCAAACACAACCCGCTTTCTGTGCACGGATCGCTGTGCATTCATGTGTGGGTTTTTTGAGACTCCCCTGACGGTCAGCCGATTCGTACTTGTAATTTTTTCTATCTATAGCCAATCAGATGTCTCCTTCATTCCAAGCCAATCACATGAGCGCGCCCCCACGAGGGTAGATTTATTGCGTTCATGACACTATACGCATTTTGCGCAGGCCGGTCAGCTCGCTAAACAGAGGGCGGAGCTTCAGGTGATCATGCAGAGCTGCGTGTCTCCGTCAGACTCAGCAGCTGATCTGATCTCTCTCTCGGGTCCGGTTATACTTCACTCGCGTTTATGTCCATATCAATCAGATCCAGCTCTCCTGATCGGCCTTTATAGAGAGCACCGATCAAACTATTAAGAGTGAATATCGGCCGATAATGACCGGCGGGGCTCCCCCACGTTGACAGTTCACTGTCTAACTGGCTTCGCAGTGCACTGATCGATTAGGCTAAGCTAACCTGTAGCTGCTCCCTCCACACTCACAACAACTTCATACAGACATAAATAAAGCTGTATTCGCCACACAGGAAACACACATTTAAAACGGTTTTGCCTGCCGTTTTTGTGTACACAAGCATTCATCAATGGTTCGGAAAGTGGCGCTGTACCTTAATAATATAAAGGCTTGTATTTGCGTGCATTTCCTGTTCGGAAAGTGGCAATGTACTGAGAGTGGAGGTGTCCTGACATCAGCGCCTGCAGGCAGGCTCCATGGAGCTGTCAGCTCCGGACTGCGCAAAATGCGTACATGAAGCGCTACGTCATGAACGCAATAAATCTACCCTCGTGGAGGCGCGCTCATGTGATTGGCTTAGAATTGAGGAGACATCTGATTGGCTATAGATAGAAAAAATTACAAGTACGAATTGGCTGACCGTCAGGGGAGTCTCAAAAAACCCACACACGAATGCACAGCGATCCGTGCACAGAAAGCGGGTTGTGTTTGCAGGTGCAGAGGGTTTAAACGGAAGACAAATATGTGAGGATCAAAAATACACATGTACAACTTTTTTCTGTATTTGGATTTTATTGACATGCATGAAATGGAATACATTTGTGTGTGCATTGAAAAACACAAGTGTGGATCCGGAAATACAAGTTTGAATCATTTTGCAGATCATGAAATACAAGTGTGAATCCTTCTGTGTGCATGTGTGTATTATGAGACTGTTCTGAGCCCTATGTGATTGGTGTGTTTGTTAGTCTGTCTTGTACTTGAAATTTCAAAATAGTGTTTGATATCTCTTTGAAAAATTGAATTTGTATCTGCCTTCAGTAACTTTTTTTCTGAAAGATGAGATTCCACTTCTGTGTCATCTGAAAGTTGCACATTGGTATTGATAGATGAAGAAAGATCCAGCTAAAACAATATGCTAAACATTTCAGAAACACTGAAGTGAAAGAAAGTCTGGATCGTGCTCCCTCACAGAGAAACACAAAGCACAAAAACTGTCAAAAAATTAAGCTGTATTAAATTGGTGGTGATTATTTTTCAATCACTGATGATAGGGTTAAATGATAATGGAAGCATGCAATTCAGAGTTATGCTGTCACTTCATGTACACTGTTCCATCGCACGGACGATTTTAGTATTTATATGATACATTTTTGTTGTATGTTTTAGGTATTTTCCGTATTTCAACTGGCTCCCAATTCTCTCTTGGGGATAAAAAAACGTTAGCTTGGATTCACCAGCTGTGCTGTGTTCCAGTCACAGTTTGCTGCAAAACCTTGTGCTACAAGTGTTAAATAAACATATCTACATCGTTAGATCATCTGCATACATTTCAATATATTTGTAAATCCCAGTTTTATCTGTGTTTAATTGAAGACATTTCTGACATTGATTTGTTCAATGCACTTACTCAGTGTTTAAATTGGAGCATACTGTAGTCTCCTGGTGAAATGGTTATGTAAATGTGTGTGTCGTCTGCATAGCTATGGTAACTTCTTTAGTTGTTTTTCATTATCTGAGCCAGTGGTAGCATGTTAATAATATGTTAGTTAAAGAGAAAAGGCCCCAAGATGGAGCCTTGAGGAACCCCACATCATATGTGTCAACTCAGATGTGTATTTACCTATAGAAACAACGTTTTTTTCTGTCCTTTAAGTAGGATTCAAACCAATTTAGAACTGTTATGGGTTACTCTATGGCAGTGGTTCTCAACCTGTGGTTGTGGTTGTGGTACGCGGAAGAATCTGAAATATAAAAAATATTTTAAAATTAAAATAAAAGACTTGGAAAAGGACCCGGACTGACCCAGACCTCACCGCTTCCCGGGGCCGTGGACAAAGTGCTCGCTGCGCCCTTTCTCCCCCTCGGGGGAGGGACGGGGCCCCCTGTTCCCGGTGCGACTGTCAACCGGGGCGGAGTGTCCTCAGTGCACTCCGACCTCGTCGTGCCGCCAGAGCTGGGATCGGCTCACGTAAAAGGCATCAGCGGTCTGCGGCGATGTCGGCAACCCACCCGACCCATCTTGAAACACGGACCAAGGAGTCTAACACGCGTGCGAGTCAGAGGATGCATTCAAAACCCTGTGGCGCAATGAAAGTGAGGGCCAGCGCGCGCCGGCTGAGGTGGGATCCCGGCCCGCACAGTCGGGGAGGTGGAGCGTGAGCGCGTGCGATAGGACCTGAAAGATGGTGAACTATGCCTGGGCAGGGCGAATCCAGAGGAAACTCTGGTGGAGGCCCACCAGAGTTAACAGCTGAAAAAGCACATGCACTTGTCCTTAATTGTTATCTTTTTTCTTTTATTTTTTACTTTGCCACCACATAAATGGCAATAGCAAACATCAGCAGACTGAATATGAGCTATTAGCCCTTAGGCTCATCTGCTCCTGGATGCTTTCATTATTATTGTGGAACTGAATTCCCAATAGGGCATTTTCTGTTACAATGTAGGTTGTTGCAGGAGGCCTACATTCAGACTTTGGTATAGGAAATGACATGTATGTACAGTTGTCATTTGTTGTGTGAGAATAAGTTATTATTTTGTTCTTTATATTCTCACTTGTGGTGTGTGAGAGAGAGAGAGAGAGAGAGAGAGAGAGAGAGAGAGAGAGAGAGAGAGAGAGAGAGAGAGAGAGAGAGAGAGAGAGAGAGAGAGAGAGAGAGAGACTGCCCTTTGTACATGTAGCTGTGGCTGACAATAACTAACGTTATTATGAATACATTTGCCTCCGAGTCCTGCATGAACTGCATAGACTGTATTTTAACATTGGTCTTATGGTGGTACTTGGAGAGCCAACTATTTTCTCAGGTGGTACTTGGTGTAAAAAGGTTGAGAACCACTGCTCTATGGGCTTTCCCTTGAAGGCAACATGGTCAAATGCTCAAATAGGCTGTAGCCAGGATCATGGGATGAATGAATCTACGAGAGATCACACAACTCGACGGCAGAGATCAGCCACTAACTGGCTGAGTCATTTAGCAGGTTAAGAGTATATATATATTTAGGAGTTGGTGGAGACAAATAGAACTAAAGAGATGGTGAATATTGGACTTAATTTAAATGTAATTTTAAAACAACGTATTTCAAAATATCGATATTGTAAAAACTGAATTTCCCCTTCGGGGGATCAATAAAGGTCCATCTTATTCTTCTTCTTTAACAATTCCTATGTAGAAAACAAAACCATCACTCAACACTTTCTTATTTCCCTACTTTAGCTATGGCACCTAACCCGAGCCTACTGGTTCTAAATGATGACATAGATCTTTAAAACAAAATCGAATTTTTTATTTTTTTTTACTGTCAGTTCTGTCTTTAAAAATGTATGTTACATGAAATGACTATACTTTTGGCTTTGATTATTTTAGCGAAGCACTACTGCTGACCATTTTCCAGTGCATTTCCATGAGTGTCCAGATTGATTTTCTCTTCTCAGGACAGCGACTGATTTTAGATAATTTCCCAAAAGAATGCAAATGAAGTTGAAAAAAAATGTAATCAAAAGAATCATAAAAATGAGTGGTGATGGAGGCAATCCATCACAATAAACGTTGCATTATTTATCGTATGCACACAGAGATGGATTTGAAAGCTCTCCGTGTTTGGAAATGTGATTATGCTTCTGAAAACCTTTGCATTTCCAGGCTATAGAATCTAAATCAAACTGGAGTGCCAAACTCAATACTGCTGTTTCATGAGACCACGTAATACAGATGGATCATTGTCATATTAACTGGACTCTGTTTGTAGACGGGGCCTTACCTCAATCACTTTCTTGGTGTGCTGCCCCAAGCAGGGCAGGTCCTGTGTAGCCCCCAGGCACCGCACCGCACAGGGCAGACTCTTCAGAACAGACGTAGCTCTCCTGAAAGCCAGACATGGACGCTCCATGTTGTTGAATTCATAGCTCTCTGCCAGCACTTCAAAAGCATCCTACAGGAGGGGAAGTGTCAAGAAAGACAGGATCGAAATGCTGGTCCAAAAATTTAATTGAGGCAAGTATAACAAAAAGCATGCTTTAAATAGTCAAAGCTGGTCCACACAAAAAAAAAGCTAAAAGAGCAGGCAAGGTAAAATAAAAGGGAAAGTAGCAAAAACAGGGACAAATCAGGATGACTGGACGAAACACAAGGAGCAAAATCCACAGGTAGAAAATGCAGACACGAAACATGGACAAGAACCAGACAGCAGTGCGAGGTAGAAATCACACAGGTGGGAAAACATAAAGACAGGAGGGAAAAACAAATGTAACCCAGGGGGGGAAAAGCTTTTCAAGGTAAAAACAGAAACACAAAGACAGAACATGGCAACTTGAGGTTGAGGAAAAAAACAATCTCGGATAGGTTTTGGAGAAAGATCGTGGTTTGGGTTAGATAACTGTAAAAGTGAAACTCAGAACCCTAACCTCAACCCTAACATTGTGTACATAAAGATGGTTTTAACATAGATGCCAACATCCATCCAACACGCCTAAAGTTACCAGTTGTTATCGCTTCCATTCAAATGAGTCAGACAGGCCTATCTGCTCCTACTGCTTTGTAAAACTGAAACCTAAAAATAACATGTAATATGTAAAACTGAATGGAACTTAATGTGTTTAATACAAAGAAAGCAACTTCTTCAAACTGGAGCTACAGCACCAGACTGTGTTCACCTTTGCTCATAATTATCGCTAAGATATCCATCATTTTATTGTATTGCTGCTTTTGGTGCTCAACCATGTTAATCAGTGCTAAAATGTAGTAGTAGTTGGACTAGCAGGCCCCTTCTGACCCACATCTATAAGGCCAATAACCACTGATAAAGTATTTTAAATCAGCTGATAACATTGCATGAATCCCCATTTTTGGATTAAACATCAAACCAAGGAAAGAGAGAGAAAACCCAGTGAAGAAAGTGAGAGCTAGCACAGATGTGTCAGGTGTGCATTCACATGTGAGATGCACTGACCCGTACAGGACACCAGACAGGGAACAGAACTCACTCCCCCCCACACCTTCATCACTCTTCTCTGTCACTTTACAGCAGGACATGCTGCATGTTGGTTTCCTCCTGGATGACCAGACAGAGACATTAGAGGCTGGCAAACAGCAGACAGGAAGCTGTCATTTCCCACTTGTTCACAGCAGGCTCCTCAGGGGGGGGGGGGGGGGGGTCTATGGGCTTTCCCTTGAAGGCAACATGGTAAAATGCTCAAATAGGCTGTTGTCAGGATCATGGAATGAATGAATCTACGAGTGATCACATAAGTCGGCGGCAAAGATCAGCCACTAACTGGTTAACGGGATGAGGAATGAAGCAGGTTAAGAGTATATATATATATTTAGGAGTTGATGGACACAAACAGATCTAAAGAGATGGTTCATATTGGAATTAATTTAAATGTGATTTTTTTTTTAAACGCATTTCAATATATCGATATTGTGTTATTAGATTAGATATCGTCTTGGTTATTGTAATATGGCAGGACTGGTTTAAAGGATACACTACACTTAAGTAATGTGCTTTTCTTAACTGTTCTAGGCATTGTGTCATTGGTCTTCAAAAACTAAATACATTGTATCTACATTACAGATCATTCATAAAAATCTGTAAATATTTCATAAAAGTTGAAAATGAGTCAACTATGCATGATGAAAATTGTAAATGCTGGTTCAAATAATTTAATATTTTGTGAATCTACATTTATAAAAGAATGGTGCTAATAGTGCTGCATTTTGGAGAATATATAAATCGAGGATTATGCACAATCTTTAACTGTTCAAATTGCAGGTGAGTCACATTCTTGACCAGTGAGACTCTTCATTTAACTGCAGTCACTAAGTATATCAGCAATTTATATCAACTAATCATTTACCAGACTTTAGAAACCTAAACGTTGTTAATTAAAGAAAATATATAGATTGTAATATCAGTTGGACTGAACACTACAGATCCGGTGTCTGATAGCATCTCAACAGAACAACCATCATGATCAGTTTGATAAAAGTTCTATTTAACAGATTATGTGTGTTTCAGAAACATCATCTGATATAAACACCCACCATGCTCAGGACAGGATTCGACTGCCCCAAAACATCAACACATACAAAATTATCGGAACTTTTATTCTAGTGTGTAGATCATATTTTTGATACACACACAACAATCTCATAGCCCAGGCTACATTCTACTGTCAGTGAAATTCTTCCTAAGCTAGCTAGCGACTGGTCAGTGTCTGTATGAGTCATGAACATATATTTATCTGCAGTATTAGAAACAAACAATCATGGTAATGTATATATAAATTACCATCACCCCTTGATGTTCCTACTCTAATTATAATTCCCTAGTCAGTGAAGACCTCACTCTGAGCAGGTATATCACACAGCGGTCAATCATTATGTTGTTTTGAATAGCGTTAAAAAATAAATGACAGCCCAAAGATCCTGGACTTCTTGAAAGATATTCAAATGAAGATTAAACAGGTGCTAGACATTACATTAACTCTGGATCCAGCCCTTTGTATACTTGGCAATACTGTATAGTGATCTGACGGATAGAAATATGATTATCTTGTAAAGAATTCTGCTTTTAATAGCAAAAGAAAACAGCTTCCTGGTTGAAGCCGCAGCCCTGCAGCAGAATGCAATTAAGAGGCAGGTTTGATCAAAGATGGCCAACATTAAAACAGGCAATACCAGAGCTCTAGTCACACCTCTTTATTAATATTTACTGTAAATATGATTTTATTATTTTCCTTTTTATTATTTATTTTAGTTCACTGTACTTATTTTTATTTGGATCGTACCACACTGTTGTTTAGTCAATAAACAGGTAGTGAACGGTCATTTCATTTATGTTAAGGGTAGAAAAGTGAAATGTGATGATTTTGTTTATGTCATAGAAAAATTATAAATACCAGTTAAAAAGTCCTAATAGTGTCGATGAAAAACAGGAATGATTTAATCTAGTGTACAACACGTATACAAATGTCAGCATGTAATTTGTACAGTGTAAAAAAAGCAAAGTAAAACATATAAATACATTTAAAACTAATCACAATAAAAGATTGATTTGCAATCTAGGCATTGTGCTTTGCAAATTGCCAAATGGTGGCACTATCTCCACAAAACCCTAATGAGTTATTTCACTTTAAGAGAATGAAACGAGAAAAAATACATCACCGTCACACTTTGTGATATTGGCTTGCAGCTGGATATTTGTGCTGAAGGGACAAGCTACTGTTGCAGAACCAAGTGAAAGGAAAACATGTCACCACATGAGAGTTGGATCATCAATAGAGCCATTTATGAGCTAAACAGGTGATATCATTATGTGGGCTAAGAGACTGCTGTCTGAATGTAGCCGAGCTGCAGGTGGGCTTTGTGCCTCAGAACTCTCATTATTTCTAATAGGCAGCACTTTTCTGAGAAATGAAGCTAGTTTTTATTGAAGAAGATGGTTGAATTCTTTAAAGAGAAGTACCAGGTATGGTTCTCCTTTTAGCCACCTGCTAAAAAAAACAAAAACAAAAACAAGAAAAAGTACAGAACAAATTTCAATGAAAAGTAACTAAACACAATTATCACTTTTTGCTCATTTATAGAAGCATGTAACAGAAAATACTAAAGTGTTGCTGCTTGAACATCCACAGGGTATACTTCCTGCCAAAACCCCGAAACATTTTGGATTATGTGCACAATTAAATGCGGGTAATGTGATAATTGCATTTATGTGGTGTATATTTTCTCTAATTGTTGATGCGCCATCTTACTTTGTAGTTTTAATTGGTGCGATATTACACTGTACGGCTCCTACAGAACTCATTTTCCAACCCACTTATTCTATTATTATCTAACTGCATTGATGGAGAAACTGTCATCTTTGTCTTCTCAGAAAATGTACCAAAATCCTCAAACCTCTTTGTTCAATCTTGTGTTCTTTTATGAACTAGATCAACCTGTTTTCGCTACATAGATTCAAATAAAGTTAAATGAAGCCCAACCGCCACCCCTCGCTCCTGCCTTTCGCTCCGTCAACTTTTTGTTCTAATGTTTAATTAACGTCCGGCCATTTACCTTATTCGACAGTCTTTTCATGCTGTTCAGGTTTTGTGCAAAAGTCCTGTTTTACAGCAGATTATTTGACTTGTCATAGTAGGGAAAAGGTGACTGACAACAATAGAACTGTTATTTTCAAACGTCCGCTTGAACAATACCTGTACCCAGAAACTAAAGCACATACATGGAAACAGGCATCGTTTGTTACATCACTCTTACACCTGTGCTAATCCAATTGTTGTTTCTCAGTCTTACAGCTGAGTGATGAGATACTGACCAATACAAAGCGGCCTTCACATCAGCATCGTTTAGCATCTTACGCAAGCAACTACAAAAAGGAGCAATTTAGCTGTAAGCCCCATCAAGTTGCTTCTGGGAACAGTGAGGTGTTTGAAGCTGATTACCAGCAATCTATACAAACTATAGGGATTCATTTGGGGGGGGGGGGGGAGCTCCAACAAGCCGTTTAGGACAGAGAGTGAATACACATACTTTACAGGGATGCTGTTTGAGAAACCAATGTGAGTTTGGAAAATTGCACAATATAACTCTATTTTAGTAGACCTCAACAATGGAATTATGATCAGTAGAAATGGCCATGGGCTCTTTAAACATTACATAATGCGAAGAGCTTGACAATAAATCAGTTCTGTACTTATGATGCTAACTCTAGCTTGCAACTACACTGCCCTTTCAAACCATATAAGGAGGGTGAAAAGAAGGACAGTAATAGGAATACATCTCAGTTAAATACCAGAAAAATAAGTTAAAGGCAAATACTATAAGCCTCTACAAGGACTAGGCTGAGCAATTCTAAAACCATGACCTGGACTCGATGCAGCCGGAGCTCAGGGCAGAGTCGGACATATTCATGCCTTGGTTTCCTCTTCG